GGTCCCAGCAACCCTCCCATCACCCCCACCCTGTCCCCTCCACCCCACTCTGCCTCTGTGGCACAGCATTCCCTTTTATTGATCAGAGAAACTTTTAAATGATTTTTTTAAAAAAGTAAAAAATTGTCACTTTGGACTAAAAAAGCAAACAAAAAGGAAAAGTTGGTAAAAAACACAGGACTCAATTAAATCATTCTTGTAACAAACAAAATTCTTGTCACTCAAAAGTATAATCTTACTTATGACATATATAAATCCATATTTTATTGATTCTAATATGAACCACTAAGGAAAATACAGTGACAAGTATATGTACATGTATAACATCAATTGTAAGATATTTCCCTATAAAGTGTGAAAATTGTTCCATCAATAAATAGGATGTACATTTTGTGACCATCTACTAAATGCCTGCATCTATAATTATGAACTTGGGCTTATGTTCTTTCTGTTCACTGTTGTATACATAGCTGTCATTAGTACATTCTTAATAAATCTTCCTCATAATGTCACTGTATTTTTAAAAGTTTAATTTGTATATGTTATGTTAATTTCATATGGGCTGGAGCGATAGCACAGCGGTAGGGCGTTTGCCTTGCACGCAGCCAACATGGCCGACCCGAGTTCGATTCCTCCGCCACTCTCGGAGAGCCCGGCAAGCTACCGAGAGTATCTCCCCGGCAGGGCAGAGCCTGGCAAGCTCCCTGTGACGTATTCAATATGCCAGACACAGTAACAACAAAGTCTCCAATGGAGACATTACTGGGCCCGCTCGAGCAAATCGATGATCAATGGGAGGGCCTTTTTTATGTTAATTTCAGGCTCATGAAAAAAAATAAAGCCTTGAATGAATGAATGAACAAATGAGTGAGTATGTAGAGTGTGCAGTGGGGTTTGGTTTATACTCCAAGCGCACACAAAATAAACAAAAGATTACATTTTAAATCAGCATTAACTGCTAAATAAGTGCAAAAGTAAATAAGTGGGGGAAAAGTAATGATAGAGTCTGACATTTACTAGTAAGTTCCACATTTGTCTCTTCAGAAAGAAGTACTGGAAATCATTAAATTCTGATAATTTTTTAAAATTCTGATAAATAAAAGCCACCCACCTCTAAGTTAAGCAAGTGGACTTGATTTGTAAAGCCTGAGTAATTTGTTGTGTTTAATATAAGCAAATTGGATGGGGACAGCAAGCTGTTATCACCTCCTACTCTTCTCTGTTTTTAAAAGAACCGAATTCAGACCTGTGAGGAAAAAAGTTGCAGCTTAAAAAAAATTGTTGGAAATATGTTATATGTACCACTTATTTCTCCTATAGAAAGACATTTTCTATAGCAGAAAAGAAGGCAAAATCATTATGCATACATACGAGACTCATTTTAATACAGTATTTTTCTAATCCTGCCACCAAACTCCTTTCTTTGAGTCATTCCTATCACCACTGAACCATCAACCAACTCAGATACAAAATGGCTCAGTGTAAAAAGTCTTTAGATCAAAAGTGTTCAAAATAGCAAAGGATAGGAAATAAAAATCTCTATAAGAATAGGTTATATGAAAAGGAGAGAGAGATCAAAAGGGAATGCCTTGCCACAGAGGTGGGTGGGGTGGAGGGGATGGGGTGGAGGTGGTGGAAGGGATGCTGGGACCATTGGTGGTAGAAAATGGGCACTGGTGGAGGGATGGGTATGCAATCATTGTATGACTGAAACACAAGGATGAAAGTTTGTAAATATGTTACTGTACCTCATGGTGATTCACTAATAAAAAATTTGTTAAAAAAGAATAGGCCATATGCTATACTTCTATTGGCATAGACTCTCTCAAATGAACTCAATTAAAATTTTGTTTAAAACAAATAAATAAATAAAATAAAAATAAATAAATAATATATAAAATAATAAATAAAATAAAAATAAATAAAATTTTAAAATAAATAAATTTTAATAAAAAATAAATAAAATTGTCAGTGGCCACATACAAGGCATGCACCTAAATCCCTAATTGTGAGTATTAGTCGGTTGCCTTGGAATGAAGTGTACGACTCTGCGATTCCTGGCACAGCAATCAGTTTCCAGCTGCATGGCAGTCAGGAGTGTAGCATCAAAACGTGATGCAGCTCCAGCAAGGACCACAACCAAAAAGATGCCTAAGCGTCACAGCTGGAAAATATGTCCCTCAGTTGAATGCATATGCAAACCACAATGAAATGACCAAACTTCAGTGAGAACTGTGATAGAGTTCGAGCACCACAACCTGATATGACACCTCGCCCCCAAAGTCCCTCAAGCACGATAGCTCAAAACGTGTCAAAACTGAAAGGAGGTATAAAGTGGGAAGGTGGGAGAGAAACTAAGGATATTGGTGGAGAGAAGTGATCTCTGGGAATGGTATGGTGCTGGAGTGTTGTAGGCCTGAATTCCAATCATGAATAACTTTGTAACTCACTGTGATTCAATAAAAATAGAAAGAAATGTGGTGGTATCTATACTGAGCATCTGCTTGACACCCCCAGTCATTGCATAACAGCATAAACATTGACAAAGTGAAGGAATAATTTTTTAAATTAAAATAAGGGGCCAGACAGATATTACAGAGGTTGAAGGTGCTTGCTTTGCATGCAGTCAACCCCAGTTGATTCCTGTCACCACATATGTTCCCCCCCGGATACTGCCAGGAGTGATCCATGAGTACAGAGCCAGGGAGCCAGGAATAAATCCTGAGTACCACTGGATGTGCCCCCCCCCAAAAGTTAAAATAATTAAAAAATATATTTGGGTAATAGAGATACCTATGGAAAGAATTATTAAAAGTAATAGTGGCTGGAGGGTAGCATAGGATTTGCCCTGAAGAATGTTTTGTGCAGGAAGGGAGATAAGGTCACACATAAACAAAATGAAGATATAAGGCAGATAAATATCTGATCTTCCCATTTAAAGAGAAGATCAGATAAGGTGCCAAGAGAGTCTTTAAAAAGGACTGCATTCTGACTGAGCATCTGGAATGTTCACGAAAGACAAACTATTTGTTTTGTTTTATTTTGAAGCATTTGGGACACTCCTGGCTGTACTCAGGGCTTATTCTTGACTCTGAGCTCAGGAATCAGTGCTGGAAGTGCTCAGGAACTGTATGTGGTGTCAGGGATCCGATGGAGACTGCTGAGTGCAAGGTAAGTGCCTACCACTGTACTACAGCTCCATGACAAAGTGTTTTAACTAGACTAGAAGGTATGTGTGAGCATGTATAGAATAGTACTTTAGAATCTACTTGGGGGTTGGAAAGATAGTACAGGGATTTAAGTGCTTTCCTAAAGCTCTGGTTTGGCCAGCTCTGGTTTAATCCCTGGCTCTTCATACAGTCTCCCCAAGCAATAGGAGGAGTGATCTTGAGTACAGGCAGGTGTGTTTCCAAACCAAAACAAGCAAAACAAAAACCCAGAATGTACTTGAAAAAATATTTGCTTAATTTCAGTGTAGTTTTGTCATATACCAACAATCAATGCCATGTTACAAAGGAAAAATGCACTTACAAATATATAATTAAAAATATATTACATAAATATGCATTGTTTAATACACGTAGCGATTTACTTATAAATGGGCATGCAAATAATGTACAGAGGTTTATAGGGAGACTGCAAACTTCACCACAGGATGTTAATAGCATCCCTAACTTCTAGCTACTGGATCTCTGAAGCAACCTCATAACCACGAGAGCCTAAACTCTCTTTAGGCATTCCCAAATGTCATGGACTGCTGGTAGATACAACTTTAAAAATTCTCTCCACAGGTAGATAAGAATTATAAAGTGTATGCCTTTGGTTTTTAGGTCCTTTCTTCAATAACCCTGTTTGGATTACTTTAGCTTTTGAAGATCTATTGAAAGCTGTTATTCATGCCTGGGGGGGGGGGGTGGTTGGAGAGGAGAGGAATGAACCTGCTTGTATTGTGCTGAATACAATTTCAGGGGATTTACAGGTAAGTTCTCCTGAGCTATCTGTTTCCTGGAGCTTATAGACGTGTCACGTCTGTATTGTTCAGATGGGTGGGGGAAACAAAAGGCTGGTGTCCCAAAGGTCTATTTTTGGTAACCTTTTCTGCATTTTCTTCAGAGCACTGCTAATCAGGGGTGATCTTCCTGTTTACCCAACTCTCCAGTCCTTCATCTAAACCTGCATTAGTCAGTTTTAGCAAGATTCATCTCAGCAGAAAACAGAACACAGAAACATGGAAGAGGGTCAGGTGCCTCTTCACTGCCAGTCTTGATTCCTGACTAGTTTCTTTCTTCCTTGAATAAGAGACAGAATCAGAAATGTGCTACCTGGACATTTGATTTTGAATGAGGGGTGTGTGTGTGTGTGTGTGTGTGTGTGTGTGTGTGTGTGTGAGAGAGAGAGAGAGAGAGAGAGAGAGAGAGAGAGAGAGAGAGATGCAAAAGCCCATCTTCAATTTATGAACTCAATAACCCACCACCTGGAACTACCAAAGAAACTTTTTAGAAATCTAAAGTCTCATGCTCCTAAAGAGCCTTGAATATAATCTCAGGGCTAGGATGAAGGAGACGTTACTGGGGCCTGCTCGAGGCAATCGACGAATAACAGGATGATTTGTGATTTTTGTGTGTAAGTCTCATTACATCAAACCGGCCCCTGCGCCCTTCCTCCTCTCCCCTCCTCCCCGCGGCCGGCCCCGTGGTATGATGAGAGCCCTGGTGTTTCTAAGACTGGAGTTTCCAGATCCACACAAGCTAGGAGTCAAGGTCAGCCCTCCCTGCAATCGATGCCCTTTGCTTCCACGCCTCTCCTGTCACCAGTTCCCCCTAGGGGCTGTCCCGCCCCTGGTCTGGGCGGCCCGCATTAGTAATTGGGGACCAGTGAGGATCTGGGTGGCCCTTGCGTGACAGCCAGTCAGAGCCTCAGCCTTCCCGGTTCTGGAAAGGGAAAGCGGGAGGGAGGGCCGAGCCTTCCTTCCCGATACGATAGGTGTGTGGGGGGGAAGCATCACAACCGCGGCTCCCTCTTTCCCACGAAGGTGCCTCTGTTGCTCCATAAATATAACGCCGTGCGCTATAAGAGCTGCAGAACGTCCGTCCCGGGGCATTTCTGGCAGGGCGCGAGGAGCCGCAGCAGGTGAGATCGCAGCCGCTACGCTTGAAGTCCGCCAGCCCCGGCCGGCCCGGCTGACCACTCCGGGCGGGCGCGTAGCCCGAGGTTAGGGATGGAACCCACGGGCAGACCGAAGGGCAGTGACGCCTCTCCTCCTCCCCAGCTGAGCAGCCGACAGCAAACAACACCCGCCTCCCAAGAAAAAGCCCCGGGAACGCTCTGCACCGCGCGCCCCAAGTTCTGCGCGCAGGAGCGCTACATCCCCAGCCTGCCCGCAGCGCGCGTGGCCGCTGGCACCTGGGAGCAAGGACCCGGGGGTCTCAGCGCCGGCTGCGCGGGGCGCACGGGGGGGGGGGGTGGTCTCTGCAGCCCACGTGGCCTCAAAGCTGCTTGGGTTGGCGCAGGTGGGTGGCTTAAGATTTCAGAACGCGGACAGCGCCCTGGATGTCCGCCCGCTGGCGCGGGGTCCATCTCCCGAAGCCCCCCCACCCCCACCCTTGGTGTCACTCCCTTAAGGGACAGCCGAGCTGGGGTCGGGGCGCGGGTGCAGGGGACTCGACCGGAGAGTCCCGGGGACCCCTGCAGGCGACGGGGCGCGTGGCGCTAGCGCAAAGGGGGAAAGAGCAGCGCGCGGCCCAGGTGGTCTGAATTAGCTGCCCCCAATCAGTCCCCCAGCGGCATCCGGAGGTAGTTCGTGAGGGGTGGGGTGGGGCACGCTCGCCTCTTCTGGTTTCGGGTGCTTCCCCTTCTGGTTTCTGCCCTCGCTTCATCTGATCCTCCCTCCTCACAGGTGAGGATGGCAGCGCCCGGGGGCCAGCCGCCGCCGCCGCCCGAGTTCGGCTGCAGCTACGTGGTGTCGCGCCCGGTGTACAGCGAGCTCGCCTTCCAGCAGCAGCACGAGCAACGCCTGCACCCGCGCCGGACGCTGCGCGAGAGCCTGGCCCAGCGCTGCAGGTAGCGGGCGCGGCGGGCGCGGGCCGGCGGCGCGTGTGTGCGCCCCGCGCGCCCTCCTTGGACCCGCGCTGTTGCGTCGGGTCTGGGATTCCAGACTTTCATTCTCTAGTCTGGGCTTGGGGGAAAGTGTGTTTGCGGAACCGCCTCAGTCTCCCCCTCCCCCCCCCCCCGCGACTCTCCAGACCCCCTGGAGTGCAGCCCGCGGGTAGAGCCCATCTCCCCCGCCTCCTCCCGCTCCGCCTGGATGGGGAAGGCCCGGAGGAGAAGATGGGGAAGGAAGGAGGAAAAAGAGTTGATGGGAGTACCCAGGGGTTCCCGGCTAGACTCGGTGGCCACGCAGAATCACAGTATCAAAGCGGGTGGCGGGATCTCCGAGATGGGCCAGTTACTGCGCTTGCAAACAAGAGAAAATCAGAGAACCAAGTACTGCAGGAGGGTTTTTATTTTGTCCTGTTTTTAAAATCTTTAAAAATCTATTGTTAAAGTGCTGGGAATTTAGTTCAGCCTTAGGGCCTTTGAATGTCTGAGGCCATGGGTTTGAACCCAGCCCACATAACCACATACCAGACAGACAGACAGACAGACAGACACACACACACACACACACACACACAAATTTATGGTCTAGAGCATTTCAAAAGCTGTATATAAAAGTAAGTCGTGTCATATAATGAATCTCCCTCCATGTTTCTACCTAAAAATCTATGGAAATTTCATTGATGATCAGTTCCAAGTTAATTTTGTTTCATTGTTCATCACCCAGTAACCCTCTCCCTTTCACTCTTTTGGAAGCCCATGTACAGTCTAACTCTGTGCTTGTGTATATGTTCATGTTTCAAAACAATGTTTAGGAATTTTTGTCAAATATGTGATCACAATTTTTATCACACTTTAAAAATAATTCCTTATTATAAAAACTAAGTCAATGTCCAAAGGGTGCATAAAAATAATTTTTAAAACAGCTATTTGATCCAGGAGTCAAATAATGTCCAACTACTGTTAATATGGCTTTTTGTTAAATCTGTAGGTTGTTGGTTGCAGAATAGAAAGTAAGGTATGATAAGGTATACAATTATGATGTTAAGGTTTTTGTAAAGCCTGGCTCCTGGTTGACATTGCCAAAATATACAGAACATGTTTGTTTTTCTTTAAGGAGAAAGAAGAAGTAGAAGAAGGCGCCGGGGCTAGAAGTCTGAACATTAATCTCCATTTGGAGACTCCACATTGACCAATCTGTGGCTGGGTCATAAAATGGGTTCTTGTGTTGGGTTATTTTCTCAGAGGATTAGAAAAGGTGGGAGAGAGAAGGGAGCACTTAATCCTGCGTTTTCAACTACAGTGCATTTAAAAGAGTAGATAGGGTTCTTGGCAAAAGTCTGGCAAACACTTCAGTGTTAGTATTGTTCATGCAATTCTTTGTCTTTACCCAAATGATTGCAAACATTTGCATAGTTTGGCTAAACACTGTGATTTGTGTTTGGTTATGACTGGGACTGAACTGGAAATCTTGTTATCTTGTTTTTTACAGTTGTTCAAGAAAGAAAGCCATTGGTGTTCTGAAGACCCTCCTGCCCATCTTGGACTGGCTCCCCAAATACCGAGTCAAGGAGTGGCTGCTTAGTGATGTCATTTCAGGAGTCAGTACTGGGCTAGTGGCTACACTGCAAGGTAAGATGGTCACGGCTTGGTTCTGAGTGATGCAAAACTATCTCTGGGAGCAGTTCTTAACATCCCCATGCCTCAGTGCTCTGAACTAAAGGCTGGCTCAGATCTCAAGGCTCCACCCTGCCTCCCAAGTCCCTTAGTGGAGAGATTTGCTTCTTTCTTTCTCTTTTTTAGGACTTTTCTTATTCAGAAACCCTGCTCTTCTCTAGCTAGATGGCCCCAAGAAGGATTCCACCACCCAAGTAGGAACTCTCCAACTTGATCAATAAACACCTATTTAATAACACCCATTATTAGTGAAATAATACCTATACCATTCAAGTGATGTACTCTGATTTTTTTATTCAATTCACTGTCACTGTCACTGTCCTCCCCTTGTTCATCGATTTGCTCGAGCGGGCCCAGTAACGTCTCCATTGGAGACTTTGTTGTTACTGTGTTTGGCATATCGAATACATCACGGGTAGCTTGATGTATTCAATTAAATCTATTCTATTTATATTTTTAAATTATCATAGTTTATTTGATTCCTTTACATCCCAGATTGGCATTTTGAAACTATCTTAAAGTATAAAAGAAGTATTTTAGTTTGAGCACTAAATAGTAGTATTTTTCTGCCCTTCTCCTCCCCCTTATATTTGTCCCATTATTTTAATCTTCTGATTAAAATGTCTCACATAGTACTGTAGCATTGTCCTCCTGTTGTTCATCGATTTGCTCGAGCGGGCACCAGTAATGTCTCTATTGTGAGACTATTTGTTACTGTGTTTGGCATATTGAATAAGTCACAGGTAGCTTGCCAGACTTTGCCATGCGGTCATGATACTCTCGGTGGCTTGCCGGGCTCTCCGAGAGGGACGGAGGAATCAAACCAGGGTCGGCCCAGGTCGGCTGCGTGCAAGGCAAACGCCCTACCCGCTGTGCTATCACTCCAGCCCGTCCCACATAGGGGATTTAAAAAAAATTTTTTGGTTGTATTTATCTATTCTCAATTCTATTTTTTGAGAGACACCCAGCACTGTTCAGTGGTTTCTCCTGGCTCAGTGCTCAGGCTTCACTCCTGGCTGTGCTCAGGGGACCATATGCAATGCTAGAAATTGATCTGTGATTGACTGTGTGTAAGGCAAGCACCTTAACCCCTGTACGATCCCTCTAGCCCTGTCATTATTTTTTAATTTTATGAGCATCTTGGAAATTTTCTGCATAGTGGCTGAATTGCAATATGGGCCTTTTCTTCCCACACTCCTCCCCATATCTTCATCATCTTGATTCTCCCCTTTCTCCTACCTCTGCCAAGTCCATGGACCATGAGAACAGGAATATCATTTATTATAATTTAATTGAGTACTTCATATGTGCCAGGTGCTCAGCGCGCTGACATAGGCATACTACCTGCTTCCAAGGATTTCAAAGAAGAGGACAATTTGTAGTAGGTGCTCCAGCAGGGCAGCTTGCAAAGGCAGTGCCTACCTCTAAGCCTTAGAGGTCTTAGAAATAGCATTCCAGAGGAGTTGTAGTCAAAACTGAGTTTCCCTGAAGATTTACCAAGTTTTCCAAGTGATAGAACATAGGGTTGGGGTGGTAATGCACAGAAAGATGGATGGGAAGTAGACTCTTGTGAAAATGAGTAATGATTGTTGAGCAATATGGTGAGCAAAATTTGTTTATGGGGTGCTCCAGATTACAGAGTAGGCTAGGTAGATTCCCACTATGGAAATATACCATTTCAGCAGCCCCAGAGTGGAGCTGCAGCCTGATCTGCCCAGTCAGAGGGAGTGGGACCGTGCTATGTTTACGTTAAAACAATACCACCAGACACCTGTATGCCCAATGGACTCCAAAGGCTGTGATGAAGAGACCACTATGACTCAAGGGCCACTAGAACTTCTACTGTGTGTGTTCAGCTTACAACGAACACATAAAATGGCACAACATAGTAAAGGTAAAGTAAAGTAAAGGCCCTCCCATTGATCGTCGATTTGCTCGAACGGGCCCAGTAACGTCTCCATTGGAGACTTTGTTGTTACTGTGTCTGGCATATCGAATACTCTCGGTAGATTGCCGGGCTCTCCGAGAGGGGCGGAGGAATCGAACTCGGGTCGGCCATGTTGGCCGCGTGTAAGGCGAACGCCCTACCCGCTGTGCTATCGCTCCAGCCCTAAACACACACATAGATGCCTCCAGAAATACTGAAGAGAATTGAATTACATCTTTTAAAATCAACTTTATATGCAGAATATGCAGAAAGATATTTAAGCCCCATTTTTTCAACTTTTTATAGACAAACATTTTAGAAGAATTCATTTCCAGCTAGGGAGATGGCTCCAAGAACTAAAGCACATGTTTTGCACAAAGACGCCTCCAGTTCAAAGTGGAGCACAGCAGTACCGCAGGACCCACTTGAGGCACTGCTGGGGATAATTTCCCAAGCAGTTCAGGATATGGCCCAATGTTTTTTTTTAAAAAAAAACAATGAGTTTTAATTCTGTTTATGGTATGTCAGCCATCGCCAGTTATATCACTTAATATTGACAAAAGCTATTCTTAGTTGCCTTTTCAACAGATGAGAAATCAATTCACTCTTGTCTAAGTTTGCGGAAAGAATTTGTGGAAATATCTTGTAAAGTGATATTGTGGAGATCTAAACCTGGAGTCTAATTCCTAGGGTCTTAGCATATACACTGTGTAGTTCTTTACTTTCTGAGAACCATCTTCCAGAAAAATTGGCTCTATAAACTTATCTTTGTAAGGTGAATTTCTGGGAGATTGACCTCCTTATCATACACAAATTCACATAATAAATATGTCTAGACAAATTCTACAGCCATCAGAATTTAGTGATTTATTTATTATATGACCAGGGACTCACCTCAAAGAATTTATTGACATCGTAGGTAGAGGAGTTAGATGATAGATCGATATTTATAGGTTGTGATATCATTGAGGTTGATGAAACATGCTGGAATAAGGATCAATTGGAGAATGGAAAGGTCTACTGCAGAGGGAATGTTAATGAAGGACTAAATGAAGGGGACAAATTTAAGGAGAGATGGCTAGGTATTGAACAAGGTGAAAAGATGTTAAAGCCTAAAGATGTTAAGCCTTAAGGCCAAACAATATTTTATGGAGGAGCTGGAGGAATTCTAGTTTGGGTGGAGTGCAGAGAGGGGAAGGGAGGAGAATAGATGAGATAAGGTTAGGTTGGGCCTCAGGCATCTCACCTGCTTTACCCTAGTCTCAGCCCTGAGGAAATATGCATTAGCTTGAACCAGACCGTGATGGGGGTGGAGAGAGTACTGGCAGATCTTTGGGAGCATGGATCCCAGTGTAAGGACAGAGATGAAAACCACAGATAACTACCCAGTCCTTCTTGGGTAGCCAAAATGGTTTTTATTACATAGACTGACTAAAGGAGCTTTTTGGGGTGCCAATCAAGAGTTTCCTTTTGCACATGTTAAATTTAAGATATGTGTAAGACATCTAAGTGGGACTGCCAAATATAGAATGGAACCACTACAAGTGTGGAAGTCAGAAAGCAGTCTGGGCTAGATTTCTTAGAATTTAGGAAATCACCCCTGCAGAGGTGACATAAAAGGTTAGGAGTGCCTAAGTCCCCGGTTGGAGGGAAAACAGAGGAACTGAGAGTGTTTAGAGATTTGCAAGATGAGGGTCCATGAAGAAACATGGGAAGGGTAGTTTTAGGAAGTTAAAGGAAAAAAAATTCTGGGGGGAGTGGAGAGTAGAAGCTAAGAGAAGGGGGGTTGTAGAGGTGAGGTTTGGGCCATACTATACTGTGGTCAGGACTTATTCCTGGCCCTGTGCTCGGGAATCAACACCTGTAAGAAAGTAGGACACTTGCTTTGCACACAGCCAACTTGTATTTGATCCCTGGTATTCCATATGATTCCCCATGCCCCAACAGCAGTGATCCCTGACTGCAGAGCCAGGAGTAAGTCCTGAGCACAGCCAGGTGTGGCCCCCAAGCAAAACAAAAACAAAACCTCAACAGTTCTTGGTGATAATATACAATACTGGGAATTTGAATCAGAGTTGGTTGATGCAAACCTAGTGTCTTTGCCTTAACTACTGTTCGATTTTTCCCTTTGTAAGAGTGGAGAAGCCAATGGTGTTGTCTGTTCTTACAGAGAGAGTATGATGAAGGAAGTCTATTGTGAAGCAGAATAGAGAAATGGCTGTAACAGGAGAGAGATAAGGGGTGAAGGTATAGTGAGGGATATATTTTAATGTGGGGGGCTGGAGCAATAGCACTTCAGTAGGGCGTTTGCCTTGCACGCAGCCAACCCGGTTGACCCAGGTTCGATTCTTCTGCCCCTCTTGGAGAGCCCAGCAAGCTACCGGGAGTATTTCTCACCCACACAGCAAAGCCTGGCAAGCTACCTGTGACGTATTCGATATGCCAAACACAGTAACAACAAGTCTCACAATGGAGATGTTACTGGGCCTGCTCGAGTAACTCAATGAACAACGGGAGAACAGTGGGGAATAATATGTTTATGAACTCATAGTAATGACCTCATTCGTAGGAGGAAAGAGATCTATGATCCAAGAGACAGAAGAGAAACAACCCACTGTGGGAAGAAAGAGCAAAAAATGGATGGGTTCAATGATGGAAATGGGAGGGTTGGTCCCTAAAGGCAGGAGGGACATTTCTTCTGATTTTATATAAAGAGTAATCTATAGAATGGTTTGAAAATTTAGTGAAACAAATTAAGGACATTTCCTGTGGACTCTATTTTAAATTAAGATTTATCTCTTTTTTTATTATGTTGATGTAACTCTACTTTCATTTTTATTTCTTTTTTAAAAATCAATTTTAAAATTTATTAGAATTTAGGTGATGTGTTTTCAATGGTGCTGACATTTATGGTTTCGGTGTACATGGTGCCCTCACCTAACCAGAAGAGTCATCTCTTAGCTGATCATCTGTGTTAAAAAGGGAAATGGCAGTTTGAGGGAAGTAGGGGAGGTGTCAGTATCTTCTTCAGAGACAGAAAGTGTCCTCCATAGTGCCCATCTGGGGGTTCCACTCATGCATATTACATGAAACCAGTGTGTCCAAATGCAGATGTCTCTGGTCCACTTCACCTGCTCACATGCTGTCATGGAAAAAGGTAGATGTGTGAATTCAGCCTCATTGGGGTTTTGCTGGACAAAACTCTGGGATATGGGGAAGAGGGAGACGTCAGAGTGTTTGTGTGAAATTCTGACCAAGGAGGCAAGTGAAATCAGAAGGGTAGGGAAAAGTGGATCAGATCATGAATCAGAAGCCTCAAGAGGACAAAAAAGTGAGTGTTGTATTGGGATCTTGAGGTGGTGAGGTGAAAGGCCAGGAAGGGGTAGTTGGAGAGGGGGAGGCGAAAATGGAAGTTTCAGAGGTGGGGCTTCAGTTTCCAGTGGGGCAAAGTTCATATCTCAACCACTTATAAAGTTCCTCAGAGCAGACAGGCTGATGTTACAGAGAAACTGGTTGCTGCTGCTTAGGTAAATGACATCTTGATGACTGAGTTGAAAACACACACACACACACACACACACACACACACACACACACACACACACACATCCTCCCATCAGGCAGTAAAAGACCAGTCTAGCCCTTCAGTCAGATTCCGGCCCCCCACCCCCTCCATCCCACAGCAGTGAAGGGTCTGGATCTCTATACAATGGATTTCTATATACCAATGGCCTGGATTTCTATACAACTAGTATTCTTTCAAAGTTGTTAACCAAGTTCCTTAAAAATAAAGGGCTTACAGTATATTTGAGGATTAGTAATCCCTAAGCAGGACACTCTACATTGTAAACAAAGTCCCCAAAGTCAAAACAAAATTTAGGAAAAGTGGACATTTGAGCCCAAGTCTGTAGAAAATGAGAGGCTGTGCTTTCATTCCTGCTCCTTCTCCACTTGGCTGGGTTCTGTGGGCCAGCTTTCCTTTCTTGGATCCGATTGTTGTGATTCATGGTCATTTATAGATTTGAATTCTTCTATCAGTAATACATTGTTTTCTAGAATATAAGCCCTGTAAGACAGAGACCAAAGACTTTGTTTCATTCTCTCCCATATTCCTCAGAACTTAAAACAGTGGATGGCAAGCATAGGCAGATAACCAATAGTTGTCAAATGAATACACAAATGCCCATTGTAGAAACTTGGGAAACATATAAAAGGAATATGAAAAAATATACACCCTCCACAAACTATAAGCTGTCTTTGATCCTATTATATATCTTAGTAAATCTCCTATGCACATAAGTGCATCTCTATATAAATAAAGTATAAAAAAATCCTGGATTTGATCCCTGGCACCATATGGGTCACTGAGCACATCTGGAGTGAGTACCATGCTAGGTGTAGCCCCTAGCATTCTCAGGGCATGTGGCCTGAAAACAAATCAACAAAGTTTAAAGAAATATCTGAGATTGATAAACTATAGTTTCAGGATAATGTTGGGGCCTCTTGACAGTAGATGGAGGAATGAGAATTAGGTCGAGGAAGAATTTATAGCATCAATTCTACTTTCATTTACATATTCTTAAATTGGATAGTGGATACATGAATAATTATTATAAGTCATTACAAGTAGCTATTTTAAGTAGCTTTTTGTATAGCAATATTCATATTATTTAAATATCTTCTGAATTTTTTATGCTTACAAGAAACACGTTTATATGTTTGGGTAATAAAGGTGAAATAATGTCTACTTATCACAAATTTGAATGCTGCTTTCCTCACTTTATTCTCACTATTTAAACTTTATCTCCCTGTTCACAACTGTATTCTAAACATCTTGTCAATTTTATCTCATAGAATTATAATGGGTAAAGTAAAATTTAATTAACCACTGTTGGATGTTAATCATTTAATAACTAACTTCCCACTTGTCAGATTTGATACTGGTGTGTCAATAAGTTTGGTTTGGTGCCACTTCTCCCCAACTCTTTGTCCTTCCTTTTCTTTTATTTTAAAAAAAATCATGCTGGGAATCAAACCCTGGCCCTCACTTGTACTATGCCACTGGGCCACATCCTCAGAACCTTGCTATTTTAAATATAATCTTAAAAAAATGTATTACTCAAGGGTCAAGGGACTTAAGTTACTTTCATTGATTATAATGTGGGAGGTAATACAAGGTATGATCTTATCTATCTAAGAAATTCACCATAATATAAGGAAGCATCATTGTCATTTTCTGCCATGCCTCACTGAAAGGCTGTAATTACTCCATCCATGAGGTTCTCAATGCAGTGCATGCATTCATGGTCCTAAGGGTCACAGGGGTAGACTCCCAGATGGATTCATCTCCTTCTCCAGGTGAGAGTTGTCTTGCCTGTTGTTATGTATATCATAGTTTTTCTTGGATTGGATCTAACTTTTCTCTTCCTTCCCCCTCAAAAAGAAAGAAAGGAGCAGTGCAACCAACAGTGATGGTTTTGCAGAATTTAGAGAAGCAATGAATTCCCATGAAACCATCTTTGTGCAAATCTATCCTGAGCCTTGGGGCTGAACTGATGACATTTTTATTCAACAACTGACTTGACTTTTTCTTCCCACTTGTCAGATCAGTGGAAGATTGAATTACTAATAATTGAGTCGATTCATTTGAGTAGGTGATGCGTGTAGATGTAATCTACCCCAGCTGATTTGGATTATGTTCTGTCCTCTCACAGAGCCACTGACTGTATGAAAAATAAGGAGACCACTGAGAACAAACTGAAAATTAAGGATCTCTATGCGATAGCTTTTGTTTATACAGTAGAAATATACCAAATTTTTTTTGGTGTGAATTTAATCGTTGGATGTACTTCTAGGCATGGCGTATGCTCTACTAGCTGCAGTGCCGCTGGGATTTGGTCTATACTCTGCCTTTTTCCCTATCCTGACGTACTTTATCTTTGGAACATCAAGACACATCTCAGTTGGTAACTATAAACACTTACGTTTTCTTTGTTTACTCATCTTTAGCATAGTTGGACTTTGTTGTTTGCATTATATTTCTCTAACTTGGTTAATGTTATCTAGGGAAATGGGATTGCAGTGCTTCACTTTCCCTGTTTCATGATGCAATGATTCTTCTTAGCTTTCAAGATACTGTGCTGTTATAAACTTTGTACTATGTGTGTGTGAGTGTGTGTGTATGTGTGTGCTCGCGTGAACGTGTGTTTGAACCTAGGGCATCATATTTGCAATATTTTTGACTTTTTTCTATGAAGCAGAGAAAATTGAAAAACTAAAACTTAGCTGATTTTCAAACTTTAGCAGGTTTGATTTTTTTAAAAAATGTAACCAATTTAATTTCTAAAGAGTGTTACCTTCCAAAATCAAAAGCAATGAGGGAGGGAATAAAAATCTTCAAGCTACTGTTTTATTAAATCAACATAGCATTTACTAAATTGTGTTCTCAAATACATATTCATTGTTTCATTAAAGAGCATACTTATTTTAAGTCACTAATATTGGAAGACTGGAAAATTCTTGCCAAAACAATTTAGAAGTTAAACTTGGCTTTCTTTCTTGGTATGGCTCAGAATAGATTTATTTCCTGCCACACTTAAATTTTAAATTCTTTTTTGCAAAAGTGTTCTAGCAAGTGACTGTCTTAATGCTATTTTGCAACTTTGACATTTATACTAGAGATAATTTTGCTCTTCCATCCATCTGCTGGCTAGACATGTCTATCTGGACAAACCTCTTGAAATGAATATAGCCATTTACTGTCTCCCTGTCCTGCAGCCTTGTCTTTCATTGTATCTCCCTGTGATACAATGAGCATTATTTGACTTGTTTGCAGAAGGAAATCAAGGAGGAAAGAATTTCTTCACTTGAGTGAATCGTCAGTATCAAATACTTGACAAAAACTAGAAACATATAGGCTGCTTTACCATTCTTTTTTCTTCCCCTCCCTCCCTCCCTCCCTCCCTTCCTTCCTTCCTTCCTTCCTTCCTTCCTTCCTTCCTTCCTTCCTTCCTTCCTTCCTTCCTCTTTCTTTCTTTCTTTCTTTCTTTCTTTCTTTCTTTCTTTCTTTTATTCTCCCTTCCTTTCTGTTTTCCTTCCTTCCTTCCTTCCTTCCTTCCTTCCTTCCTTCCTTCCTTCTTCTTTCTTTCTTTGCCAAGTAATTTAGTGAGTTTATTAATTTTTTTATCAAACCTGGTGAAAATGATAGCAAAAGATTTTTTAAATGTATTTGTTCTTTAAAATTGTTGTTCTTTAAAATTAATTTATGTTTTTTGGTCTACAATACTATTAATAATGGGTATGATTCCAACAGGCTGGAGCGATAGCACAGTATATGATATATTTATATACTTATATTTATATTTATATACTTATATTTATATTTATAGGGTAGGACGTTTGCCTTGCACGCAGCCAACATGGCTGACCTGAGTTTGATTCTTCCGCCCCTCTCGGAGAGCCCAGCAAGCTACTGAGAGTATCTCACCCCCACGGCAAAGCCTGGCAAGCTACCCATGACGTATTTGATATGCCAAAAACAGTAACAAGTCTCACAGTGTTACTGGGCCCTCTCAAGCAAATCAATGAACAATGGAGGGACAGTGACAGTGATGATTCCAACATCACACTCATCACCAGTGTACCTATCTCCCTCCCCAAAGACTCCCAAACTCCTTTCTTCTCACTACCCTCAATTGTATGGATCAGTTCCCCAGTAAGTTGTTTTTGCAACTTTGTTGCTATCTCACTGGTATCTCTAAGTCCCACATATGAGAGGCATCATTCTGTTATCTGTCCTTTTCATTCAGACTGACTTACATCTGACCATATCTCACCCACTGTTAATGAGAATGTCATCTGGTTCACCTCCATGGAAAAAAATATGAAGATTTCCCCAAAAAGTAGAACTAGAAATTTCATATGATACAGCAATACCACTTACTTGAAATCTATCCCCAAAACATAAAAACATTAATTCAAAAGGATATATGCACATCTATGTCAGCACTGCACTTAGTACAATAGCCAAGATATGGAAGGAACCCCAATGCCCAACTACAGATGAATGGATAAAAAATTGTGGTACATCTATACAATGGATTAGTATGCAGTTCTAAGAAATAACAAAATCATGCAATTTGCAGCAGCATGGATGGAACTAGAGGATATCATGCTTTGCTGTTTCACACAAGTTAGAGAATGTTAGTGATAAACCCTCCCAGTTGTCAAGTCTTGCTTGATCAAATCGGATTGTCATCATCACGGTCCACGGTATCACGGTCTTCCCGTTGTTCATCGATTTGCTAGAGCGGGCCGTCTCCATCGTGAGACTTGTTGTTACTGTGTTTGGCATATTGAATACGTCACGGGGAGTTTGCCAGGCTCTGCCGTGCGGGCGAGATACTCTCGGTAGCTTGCCGGGCTCTCCGAGAGGGGCGGAGGAATTGAACTCGGGTCGGCCATATTGGCCGATTGGCCATATTGGCTGCGTGCAAGGCAAACACCCTACCGCTGTGCTATTGCTCCTGCCCGTCGTCATCATAATGGATAAAAATATAGTTGGGGCCAGAGAGATAGTATAGTGGATAAGGCTCTTTCCTTGCATGTGACCAACCTGGGTCAATCCCCAAAATCTCATATAATCTCCCAAGCCTCACCAGAAGTTGCCCCTGAACACAGAGCTGAAAACCCTGATCACCAGGAGTGAACCCCAAACAGACAAATAAACAAAAATCATAATACTTTTTAAACCTAGAGTCTTAGACTGGCATTGGAAATGAAAAAGAAAGAGAAACTATGTTACTCGTTTTGTGATGTCCCTAATTTTGACCCTGTAATACTGACCCAGCTAGTCAGCTCCACAGAGACCAGGACACTGGATGCTTTAGAAAATTGCTTATATGAAACAATAATAGGATGGTACAAACCAGGATTCAGCTTGTGTGTCACCTCCCCCAGGAGACTTTTCCTGAAAAGCCCCTCCCCACCAGTATTCTCTGCTTCCGAACCTGTACACATGACTAGCACACAAAGATAAGTTAGACATTGTGTCTGTGTACATACAAGGCATTGTGCATAGTGTATTATAATACCCTAACAATGGTTCTTGTGCTTACTTTCGGGCAGCAAATGCTTTGAGACATCTGCATTGTAGCTTCTTTTGTGAACAATTTTTCCCAGTCACAGCTAAGGATCTTTACACACCTTTCTAATTCTATGTTTAACACAAACATTTGTGGTGAATAATTATTAATGATAGAAGCATTTTTTCCTTTAGGCCCTTTCCCAGTGGTCAGTTTGATGGTGGGATCTGTTGTTCTGAGCCTGGCTCCCGATGAACGCTTTCTTATATCCAGTGATAATGGAACTGCATTAAATACTACGGTCATCGACACTGTAGCTAGAGATTCAGCAAGAGTGGAGATTGCAAGCACCTTTACTCTTTTGGTTGGAATCATACAGGTAGTGGATTTACACATGATCTTTATTTGAACTTACTAGCTTACTACCTGTGGCCTTGAGGATTTAAAACCAAGCTTAAGGACTCAAAAGCAAAACAGAAGTATACTGGACTGCAAAGTTATTTTGTAAACTTGTTTGGGTCAGCTTCTGAAAAAAAGTAAGACTGTGTTTATTAAGGCCCACTTATCATCACAGTCAAGATGGGGCAGGGGAAGCAGCTAAATGTGTGTGGTTCAAATGAGGATGAGTGAAGGGAAGTGCGCAAGAAACCATATAGTAGACAAAAGTGTTTCTGTAAACAGAATCACAGAGAAAGTCACAGAAATAAACTATGTTATTTTACTTTCCTTAATATACGTCTGAAATATTCAAGGTTTATATTACACATGGTTTTCGTGTTTTGCTGCTGTTGTTTTGGGAGGTTGGAGTCACACCCAGTGGTGCTCAGGGATATTCCTGACTCTTTGCTCAGGAGCGACCCCTGCAGGTCCTTAGGAGACCACATGTGGTGACAAGAATCTAACCAAGTCCACAGCATTCAAGCATTCAAAACTAGCCCCTTAACACCTGTCCTATCTGTCTAGCTCCTACAAATTTTAGAATGGCAGAGGAAAAGAAATTCAGATATGTCTCCTACAGGTATTTTTTAAGTTACCAGCGTTTTCATTGATGTTCAGTTTACTACAGCCATACCACCCTGAATGCAGCCAATCTTGTCTGATGTTATTTTTAACACATTCATATTTTAGGAGAATTGGTTCTTCTCCCGGGCACACATTAAAATCTCTCTTCTTCTGGTTCTAGTTGATATTTGGAGGTTTGCAGATTGGATTCATAGTGCGGTACCTGGCAGATCCACTGGTTGGTGGCTTTACAACTGCTGCTGCCTTCCAAGTCTTGGTCTCACAGCTAAAGATTGTCCTCAATGTTTCAACCCAAAACTATAATGGTGTTCTCTCCATTATCTATGTAAGTAGCTTCTTACTCAAGTGCTTCTTTCATTGTTGTGGTTTTGTTCGGGGAGCCATATCTCACCATGATCAGGGATTATTCCTGGCTCTACATTCAGAGATTGTGCTCAGAGTAATGCTGGCGATTGAATCAGGGTCAGTCAGATGCACGGCAAGTCCCTGACCTAATGTACTACTACTTCTCTGGCCCTCCGGAGACTTCTTACTCATTGAGTAAAATATATTTTCTTCTTGATCCTGAGTCTGTGGAGCATTCATGCTCCATGTAACTATAATTTGGGAACCATTGAAAACATTCTCTTAAAGGAGTAGCACTGAAAAAAGGCAGATTTCGAAAAATATTATTTCCTATGGGGGGCCATGGTTTTAGGAGTGCCACTACTTTTTTTTTTAAAGGTATAAACCCAACAATTTTATTTATTTTTTTTTGCTTTTTGGGTCACACCCAGCGATGCTCAGGGGTCACTCCTGGCTTTGCACTCAGGAATTACTCCTGACGGTGCTTGGAGGACCAAATGGGATGCCAGGGATTGAACTTGGGTCAGCCGCATGCAAGGCAAATGCCCTACCCGCTGTGCTATTGCTCCAGCCCCAGGAGTGCCACTACTTTAAAAATTACTATTGAAAGCAAAGTAGTAGAGCCAAATGAAAACTGGTCTAGGATACATCATACTTGAATTCTAATCTCATCTTTGCTTCTAAACGAGCTAGGTGATTTTAGGTGTGTCCTATAGGATAGCAGCTGAAAATTCAGGTTTGGAAATGGAAAAACTGGATTCAAATTCTGATTCTCATTTACCAGCTATGTCAAACAAATCACCAGGCCTCAGCTTCCTTCTTTATAAAATGGAGTTGGTAAAAGTATCTATCAGCTAAGTTAAATAAGGATAGATGAGAAGTACTTGGCCCAGAGGCTGGCATGTAACAAGCCTACTTTTTTGGGAGTCAAAAAAGTAGTTATTCTGAAATTATTACTTCACACCTCATGACTTCTTTTCTTTTTTTATTTTTAAAATGAAATGATGGGAGATGTATTTCCAACCCTGAGTCCATCAAATGTATAATGTAAATGTCTGAGCAATTATAGATGAGAAGGAACATTAGATTCAGAAATGATTCAACATGCAAAAGAGATGCAAAAGAAGGATGTAGATAACACTAATTAGATTTGAAAAAGTTCATGAATCTAAATATATATTCCATAAAAAAGCACATTATTTATGTCTTAAAAGTGTTGATAAGAGTTACATGATGTCACCCTAACTTAGGGGAAATGATACTAAGCAAATATAATATGTCATTAGAAATGAAGTTTGAGACCTTTCACGACCCTGTATTAGTTTCTAACACAGTGTAATATCATGCAAACATACTGAAAAATGAGTAAAGGTGGACATGAATTTGCACCTTTCATTAGAGTGCCTTCGTTCCATGTTACTCCATTCATCAAATATAGCCAAGCACCTAAATAGGTTGAGAACCATAATATGCAGCGGGAGTAGGTCGAAGAGGCCATATATAATGTAATATAATATAATGACTAAGATTGTAGACTTTTAACTTCAATAGACTTGCATATAAGTTTTATTATTTTTAAAAGATTTTTATTTTTTAATTAAGACACCATGATTTACAAAGTTATTCATGTTGCATCTCAGGCATACTATGTTCTAACCTGAGTCACACCATCAGTGTCAACTTTCTTCCACCAGTATCCCCAGGTTCCTCCCACCATCTGTCCCCCCTACAGCTACATCTTTGACAGGCACAATATTTTTTAAGTTTGGTTGTTGTGGGTTGGACCTTCTGCTTTCACTATTACTGAAAAATCTTATGAAATTCTACAACTACTCCCCAAGTGATTTGGGAAATGGAATCTTTAAGTTCCTATAGACTCAGTGTTCTCAACTGAAAAATAGAAATAATGAAGTAACCTTTCTTAAAGTTGTGATTAAAAAGGAAAATTAGTGTGAAGCACTAAGCACCATATCTAGCACATAGTAAGAATTCAGTTTATTTATTTTTTTTTTTATGGTCATGGTGAACACATCTAATGGATCCAGCTGTTCACTTTCTTGGGATGCACCCTGTTTAAAGATCTTACCACAGGCTTTTTTTCTGATTTAGTATTGCTTGTCCTTGTTTCTTTTCTCCCCAACCAATTCTTCTCTTAACTGAAATCTTTGGGGGCTTTTTTTGGTTTTGTTTTGGAGGCAATGCAATCTCTCCTGGCAGGCTCAGGGAACCATATGTGGTGAAGGGATAGAACTGGGTTTGGCTGCATACAAAATGCCCTCCCCACTATGCCATCTCTGTATCTCTGTACCGCCCATTCATTTTAAATCACTATGCTAAAAGACAAGGGGCGTCATTTACTAAATTGATACTACATGCTTTATTTAATCCTGTGCCATGGGTGAAGATGAAATTGAGAATCTGCCCAGGTGGTGAGGGTTTTGAGAGCCACCGTTCAGCTTGATCAGATTCATTACTCTGGGTCTATTTTGGTGTGCACAGTGTAAGTCATTCATTTTCAGAAAGTAAATTTAATGACTGATCAATATGTAAACAAAATGTTGGATTATTTTGTTTGTTCCTTTGAGCTAGGAGTTGAAACTGGGTCTTGTAAGTGTAAAAGACCTGCTCTACCACTCACAATATATCCCAGGCCTTTACAGCTTTTTATTTGTGTTTGTTTGGTTGCTTTTGAGCCACATCCAGTGGTGTTCAGGGGCTACTTCCTGCTCAGTGCTCAAGAGTCAAACTAGACAGTTCTTAGGAGACCATGTGGTACCAAGGATTGAACCTCGGGCTCCCACATGTAGAGCACTCTAGCCTGTTGAGTTATCGCTTCATCCCTGTGTAACTTTTGATAGCAGAACATAGCACTGTAGCATTGTCCTCCCATTGTTCGTCAGTTTGCTCGAGTGGGCACCAGTAATGTCTCCATTGTGAGACTTGTTGTTACTGTTCTTGGCATATCGAATACGCCACAGGGAGCTTGCCAGGCTCTGCTGTTTGAGTGGGATACTCTCGGTAGCTTGCTGGGCTCTCTGAGAGGGACAAAGGAATTGAGCAAGGCAAATGCCCTACCCACTGTGCTATTGCTCCAGCCCATAGCAGAACGTAGCTGATAGAAATGATTTGTTATATATTTAGAGATAAAATTCATTATAATAAAATTGGTACTACAATGTAACTGATAAATTTATACATATCTTATATGAGATATAATTTTTTCTATATGGCTTTACACAACCAACTAATGCTAATCAAGAAGAGGAAAATGATTTAAATTAAACTGCACTAAAATTCTCTAAACATGGTACATATATTGTAAAATATTATCCTTGGCTAAAAAGCTCATTGTCATGATTTGAATTATTCAGAATATGAAACTGAGACATGAAGTCAGATGTATATCCATATTTAAAACATATTTTAGTATTTTAATCTAAAATAAATTAGCAGTGCTTTTCAGTGTCAAGAGAGTCCAATTTCTAGATCTTTTAAGTAAATCTAAGAACTTTGAGTACTTCAGCTTATATCGGTAAGTAGTATTTTTACTAAAATATATAAGCTAAAAAATATAATATATAAGCTATATAAGCTAAAGTTTTTAAAAATTAATTTCTTCTCTTTGGTGCCATATACACCAGCATGGCTTCTTCTAGCTGTGTGCTCAGGGGTTACTCCTGGTGTGCTCGGGGGATTAATGAGGTGCCGGGGATTGAACCTGAGTCAGCTGCCTATAAGACAAGCAACTTACCCACTGTACTGTTTATTGATCTAGCTCCTACATAGGTTAAAATTTCTACTGTATAAATTTTCTTAAGAGATTCTGAATGAATGCCCATTGTATAGTCATTAATTATGTTCATATGTGTTGTTTGATGCAGCTGTTTAATGTATAAACACATCTTGATTTTTGCAATTTATATTACATTTTATTACATTTTTTATTATTACATATTTTTTACATTTTTATTATTTTATTATTTATTTTTATTGTCCAAGGGCTGGAGCGATAGCACAGCGGGTAGGGCGTTCGCCTTGCACGCAGCCAACATGGCCGACCCGAGTTCGATTCCTCCGCCCCTCTCGGAGAGCCCGGCAAGCTACCAAGAGTATTCGATATGCCAGACACAGTAACAACAAAGTCTCCAACGGAGACGTTACTGGGCCCGCTCGAGCAAATCGACGATCAACGGGAGGGCCTTTACCTTTACCTTTTTTATTTTTATTATTTATTTATTTTTATTATTTTTTATTTTTTTAATTTTTATTTTTATTATTATTATTTTTTATTATTACATATTTTTACATTATATTACATTTACATTTACATTATATTACATTATATTACATTTACAATATATTACATTATATTACATTTTATTACATATTATTATTTATTTATATTACATTTTATTATTATAGGGCCTGGAGCGATAGAACAGCAGTAGGGCATTTGCCTTGCATGCAGCCAACATGGCCGACCCGAGTTCGATTCCTCCGCCCCTCTCGGAGAGCCCGGCAAGAGAGTATCTCGCCCGAACGGCAGAGCCTGGCAAGCTCCCCGTGACGTATTCGATATGCCAGACACAGTAACAACAAAGTCTCCAATGGAGACGTTACTGGGCCCACTCGAGCAAATCGATGATCAACGGGAGGACCTTTACCTTTAACTTTATTACAGATATGGTGGTTCTACAATCTAGGAATCTATATACAAAACACAAAAACATTATTTGAAAGATATTTGCACATCAATATTCACTGCAATGCATAGTATGGAAACAACCAAATGTCCAATGACAGATAAATGGATATAGTGGGTTTATAGTCCCAATGAAATGCTATGCAGCTGTCAGAAAAGATGAAATCTTGCAGTTGAACTGGAGGATATGGTGTTAAGAGAAATAAGTCAGAGGGAAAAAGACAAATGGTGTCATTTATCAATAGAATATAGAGGAAACAGATAAAAGGCAATATTGA